ACAAAAATATCAGTGGTCTTTGCAAACGTGTGCTTTTGGTAATTTCACATACAGTACCTCTTCCAGAACACTCGCTCCACAAGTAAGCGACAGGACAGACTTAGAATATCATGTTGCTTGACAAAGCAACAGGACATTACATTAAGGCTCCAGAACTTTAAAAGGAGGTAGCTCTTTGTGAAACAATGAGTCAAGCTCAAGGAGTACTTTAGATTTTTAATATGGAAATAATACAGAAAGGCAGTCCACAGAACCAGAAATAAATTCAAGGACGGTATGTGCTAAATCCTCTGAAAGACAAGTATTGTGTTACCGGCACAGTTTATCCCAACTGGTATGCAGTGACGTCCCCCCCACCGCAGGTTAGTGTTTGTGTCCTGTGTCCCACTTCCCCAGTCTCAGTGTGTGTGATTCTGTGAACTGCTTACCATATTATTTATACCGCTTTAAATTTGAAATTCCAAAGTGCTGCATTATGGTCAGTAAATGATTATTACGTGGCATGAAACCAGACTTGTGAAAACTTTGGGAGTGAAAGATCCACAGAAAGGTAAACCAAGGTTTTTCTGAACGCAGCATTTTTTGTTAGTGGCATGTCTGGTGGGTTCCAGATGGGAGCCCTTAGTGTAACGGAAGGTACTGAGCCTGATGCAGCACACGATTTGCAGAACCGGAGCAGGCAGCATGAGGGGTGCGCAGAACAGGATGCCTGCCTCTTCGTTACTGCGCTCTAGTACTGCATTCGTAGGGTGGTCCACCCTTTTTTTTCTGCCATGTGATCCTCTACAGATACACGGCACAGCCCAGCAAGGTGGCGTTATTTTGAAATGTATTGCAGTTTCCCTCTTCATCTAGATGACTTCCCTTTCTTTTCAGATAGTCCAGTGAGAGGTTACGAGAACACTAACATTTGAAGTTACAGCTACAAGAGGAGTCTAGGAGGGTAAGGTAAAACTTGCAAGTTAGACAAAATGGAGTTCCACTCCATCCCTGCGAGAAATCACAGTATACATACATTCAGTTTTCTGGTTTGGTTGGTTGGTGGTTTTTTTGGGTTTTTTTGTTTGTTTGTTTTTTTCAAGAGAGTCCAAACCAGCTATCTGTGGCACCTCAAAGTAATTACAGATGCTTCTATACCCTTGATAAAAGTTTTACAGCACTGCAGGAAGTTCTCAAGGAAGATGGGAACAGATTTTTGACAGCTTCCTCTGGTTCAAAAAAATGAATGGGTAAACATTTTCTGAAGTAGCTTGAATGTGAAATTTGCTTGTTTGATAGGACAGGCAACTATTCAAGGTCAACGTTGGTCTTTATGCACTGAATCACTGGGTTCTTTTTTCAGACGGCATGACTTGTACTTTCAACAGAATAAATCGACTATAATAGTGGATCCTTTCTGTATTGACAGCAGAGAAAGGGTAATGGTGTCTATGAAGTGAAGAAATCTTTTTAGTATTACAATATCAATGCATTATTCTATCATCCAAAGACAAAAAGTGGGATGTGTTTTAAATGTGGCCATCTTTATCTTTAACCAAAACACTGGTAAGAATCATCTTAGTTTCAAGATTAAGGCTGCAATAAACAAAATAAAATAGCCATTTTGCAATGTCTGCAAGTTTACTGCTGCAAACAAGCGTCAAAAGATTTTTGCTAAGTAGCTGGTTCAAAAGCAATGTTACTTTCTCCATCTGTTTCTCTTATTTTTTTCATTCACCTTTTCCTGACCTGCTCTGAATTTTTAGAGTATGAAAGGAAAGGTCGGTTGGTCATGGGTTTGCTCTGCTTTTAGGAGGTATCACTAGTCCGAGTTAGGATCTGGTGGAGAATTCATACTCTAGGATCTGGACACTGAGACTAAGAACATGCAAGTGTTATTTAAAGGATGTCACTTTTGTTTCCAATAAGGTTGTAGGTCCTTTCTCTGCAAGATGCCACAGTTTGTTGATGAAAGAAATAATATTGCTGGAAATGGCATTTTTCAAAAGTAAAGAATGCAGCTTTTAGAGCTGATTCTGTTTTTTCCTCAAATAAAAATGGTATTTAGAAGCTGCAGTATTAAAAGCTTAATATGATTTTTATGCCCTTGGAAGTCTCTTTACCTTTGTAACTGTCCTGAACTGAGTAAAGATAGTGGTTCCATGCACATAGGCTCTACCGAAGACATTCTTTTAATACAGTGATCTGGCATTTAATTTGTCTTTCTTACCTGTACTGTCCTCAGTGAAGATTTTAAGGAGCCAGTTCTTTGCAGGGGGGACTTTGAATTTGCACGAACAATGTCTAAGCGAGAGTGAGAGTCTGGTGGAGAGAGCGAGCTCCAAAAAACCTGTTCAAATGAAGAAAGCTGTGACCTGGGTGCCATGGTACAGCTTGCAAGCTAACAATCACCAAGACTGAAGCTAACAAAAATGCAGCATGGGACAATTAAACCTGCTCTAGAGATACGCATCAGCTGTGGTTTGGATTGATCACTTTTAGCTGAAACAATATCCTTGCTCAACCTGAGACATATCAACATACTTGGGTGGTCAAAGTAAACACTCTTCGGAGGTCTGAGGGGATTTACAATGGTTTCCCAGCGACGTAAGTAGCTTGAGTTTCAGGCTAACCTAGAGGTATGAACCCCACCAACTCCTTCAAGCTCTCCATGTGTTGGAGATGAACTCTTAGACCCTTCACAAGCAAATCCTTGCTGCCAGTCACAGCTGCATCAGAAATTTTATCATCTGAAATGTTCAGATGTGCAGCTCAAGAAAAATTTGGGAAAACCCTTAGAGTACAGGCAAGACTGTAATATCTGTTATGAGTTCTTTCCAATAGTCAAACCCAGTAAATTTAAAGGCTAACAGCCTGATACTAAAAATAATAACATTATTTCTGCAAGACTTTATTAGTACAGTCAAGGAAGATGGTAGAATTCTGGCCAGTCAGTAGTTCTATGGAAAGTAAATATTGTCCAATTAACAGGAAATTTAAAATGAGATTAGAAATTTGGTTGTGAATGATAAAGTTTTGTCTTAAAGGGTAGTTTTGAATTGGTGCCACGTGACATTGTAACTGTGAAACTAGAATAGTACAAATAAATGAAATAAAAATACCAAGCAGTCGCAAATGTGACTGTCACTGAAGGACCATGATTTTGTATGGTTTGCGCTAACTGAATACTGCCATCCTTGCTCCTGAGCTATGTCATGGAAAAAAATAAAATTAGGACTGGTAAGACTTTCAAAAAAAGACCAAAAATGATCCAACTTTCTTGACAAGCTAAACACATACACACAACATACATTTCAATGATAATAAGTTTAAAGGCCCAACGTCCAGAAGAACTGCAAGAACGAATAAAGGACTGAAAAACATGCCTTGGGAAAGAGAGACTGTAACTCAAAGGGAACAGACTTGGAAGGAAGCTGTAACTGTCACAAGGCACAAAAAGCAACTTGGTAATAAATGTCTCTTAATTCTAGAACAGCCTCACAAAAAACAATGACTGAAAGACCAAACCAAGCAAACAAAACCCAGACTAGAAAGAAGAGATTTTTAATGAAGTCATGTGTCTTTAGAACATCTTATCAGAGCAGTGTAAGACTTTCTCTTACTGTGCATCTTTACAGCGAGATTCACTGCAGAGGTGTTCTTTAGGAACTACGATTAGCTGAGCATGGAGCGGCTGTCACTTTAGGAAAAGTCTCTTGTGGGAAAGATTAGATTGCCACAGCAGTTCTCCGTTTCTAAAAATCTCTTTATCAGCCTGCACGCTCTTGCTCTGGAGAAGTGCAAAAAGGGCTTGGTATATGCAAGAAGTTTGTTCTGGGAACCTGAAACATACCTTGCATTTTCTGCCTGGGACATGTATAGCCCCAAAGCGTGAAAACTGTTTTTATGCAGTAAGTAAATTGAAAAGCAAATCTTAATCACTCTTACCTTTAAATCTTCGTTTTCATCAATATTTTGGATATTTTGGTAGGCAGCAGTATATATCTCCAAAGCTTTCCCATGGAAAAACATTTCAATGGTTATAAATTCGGAAAATATATTCTAAAAGCAAATGAAAACAAAGGTTTTCTTAATGCAGTAAAGTACATCTCAACTTGAAATACAAGAAATTACTGAATTCTGTACTTGGTATTTATATGATACCAGTAGTCAGACCCGAATTGTAGAAATTAAACATAAACTTACGCTGTTGTTATTTCATACTAAATTCTAAGTAAACGCTTTAAAAGTGTAAAAGAGACACATTAGGAATAAAATGTCATGCTGAAAACTCACTTGATATTCCCCGATAAGTATTCGTGAGATGTAGTCAGTGGATTTTTGCTTTATTCATGGCAATCTTTTTTAATAGGTTGGGGATAAATTATCTGTAAACTCTATACATATCCATAATTTATAGATAATTACATATTTTATATAATAAAATCTTCTTTATGTATTAAAAACCCACATCTTCAGAACTCACACAATCTTTTTTATATTACTCTAACATCAAGTACTGGTTGGCTTGATTTGGTTTTTCAACCACCTTTTATTCTTTCCTATTTAGCCTGTCTTTGATTGTTTGTTTTTCCCCCAGTAAAAAAGTCACTTCAGCAATTTTATAATTAAATTTGAGATCTCGTAATGCAAGTGTTTTTCAGTCACTATAGTCTTTGTGACTTAAGCCACTTAATGTGTGACATTAAGAGAGAAATGAAAGCTTTAATTACTTGCAGTCACTGAACATTTTGCACATTCTGCATCAGCAAAACTTTTAACTGCAGTAACCTACACAAATTTCAGCATGGATACATACATTTACTCATCACTATTTTTGTTAATTTTGCTGGTATTAATCCACATAGATCATTACACCAACAAATGCAGCTACCAGTGAGGCAGAATACAGCAACTGTTGGAAGGTGCAGACGCTAAACAATTGGTTACAGGAAAATTCTAAATTCAATAAACCGTAAGAATAATGAACTGATTTTTTAATTGAAAAGTTCATGATATTTGAATTATCAAACGTTCATGAATACCACAAGATTTACATTTATGTAGGCTTAAGTTAATACTAAATGTTGCTAATCTTGTGAAAGAGTTAACTATAGTAATTTTATTATGCAGGATGAAATGTGATGTCCTATACTGAAACAAGAGCACACATACTTTTATGTCCTTTATTTTCTGTTTCTCAAAATTATCAATGGTTTCCCGTAATTGCTGAGTTGTTCGAGTTGCATCCAGTGAAGCTCTCTGCAATTCACTTTCAGCCTGGTAAAGTAATAGAAAAGGTGACATTAGTCCTGTATTTGATACTAAGATATTTGCTCTAATTGCCTCAAAACCATTTAAGTCTGGCTTTTCAAAATGCTACACATCTACACGTCTGTGTTACTGTATTTGTAAATTTGTTTGTAGCTTAATAAATAAAGATGCCTTCAACGCTGTTGTGACTTTGATCTGAAAAGTGAAAAATGACTAGCTGCAGCAGGCGGGAAAGCCCCACTGCCCTAATCCATTTTCTGTAATAATCATCTGCTAATTCCACTGAGCCAGCCCGGACACTGGGCTGGCGACACAGTGACTGGCTTCGGGGAATTAACGCAGCACATGGGTTTACCCTTCAGAAAAGTTAAAAGTGTTTTTTTTAAGCTGGTGTAAAGGAGAGGGCAAGAGTACGTAGGTCACAGCGGTGGATGAGCTGAAAAGATCATCCTTTATTTTCAAGTGCAGATCAACCTCCTGCTGGGTCTAGAGCCAATCTTTTCCAGTGTCACGTGCTGAACCTCACTGCACTAAGGTTTTATAAATTATTTAAATAGACAATAGAGCAGCAGCTGGAACTAATGCACTTTTCCTCTAAGTACCACAATCAGCAGACTAGAGTTAACATCATTTTTAGTTCCCAAAGCATTTCAGGTATTTTATATTTTTGTATTATTAAAATATTTTATAAAAAACATCTTTAACAGGGCACTGGGAAGGGACACACTGACAAATCCCTAATGCATAAATACACAGTCTTTCTTATTTTGTTACAACAAAAAGTAGTTTAGTTATGTATTTTAATTACATATAACTATGAACTCTATAAAAATGCACACTACCATTTAAATGAAGATATTGAAGCTGTTCCAGTTAAGTAAAGTTTGAGAACTGTGTACTATTATAAAACAGTGATGTAACGACGTAAGAGCTTGCACTTGAAGACTGCAAAATTTGGGTCTAAAAATTTTATTTTCCATACATTACTGGTCAAATATCATAGACTAGTTAAGACACTATTTACTTACAGTCTCTGTCAGCAAGTCTCATCTGGAATCTAGTCTGTCCTGGGATTTGGAAATGGTACATGGATCAAGTAATTGTATCCTACAATCAAGACGTAGGATTCTTCCCATTTCTACAACTCTGCAACTTGAGAGGAACTTTTCCCCCTCCCCCTCGCCAAAAATAGACACCACAGGCCCAGTTCCCATGATGTAGTTTTTGGTGTTTTATGTGTATGGAAATCGAAGGCATAAGGTAAGCTCTGTCACTTTTCTTTGATTAAGATCTGACCACCTTATATTACAGGATTATCAATTTGAAACAATCTCCTTACAAAACCAGTTTAAAGTCATAGACACAATTTTGCCATTACTGGGCAAACAAAATTGGTAATTTTCAGTAGTATGTAAGGGCACACGTTCATCTCCCTTTCTTGATTTTGCACGAAACACAGGAGGGAAACTAAGAAAAGACATTTTGTGTATTCTCCGTTATCACAATCGGTCACTCTGTAAATGAAGGCAGCTGTTGCGCATAAACAGCCATTACACGTACAGATACCGTATGTGATTTCTATGATAACCAAATATATCTTCTCAATCCATCTTATATAGACTGGCCAGATTTTGCATGCAGATGCTTTGGGAAAGGAATTTTGTTTGTTGTAGAATGAAATGTCTAAACTTGCAGAACCTGCATAGTTTGTACAAGAGCAGTTTGATATTTTCTCTTCTGAAACACTCACCTGTGACTGGAAATATTAGTAAAGGAAGAAATGGCAAAATAACAATCAATATTCATAAAAGTCTGTTTTCACTTCTACTTTTAATATATTGTGAAGTATTTACCTCAGATATTTCAAAACTTCTGTATATTTGGAGGGTGCTATTATTATGTAGTCTGAGGCTTCCTTCTGTAAGACATTACTTACAGTTTGTTACAGCTTTGCTAGAATTCAAGTATCCAGGCCAAAGTATTTCAGGACAGCTGTCCTGAACTTGGACTGAGGGTTTGGTTATTTTTTTATTTAAAGGAAAAAAAAAACAAAAACAAAAACAAAACAAAAAAAAAAACACCAGAAAAACCAGGTAGACCCTCTCAGGAAAAAAAAAAATTGATTTAAAAAAAGAGGATTTTTATCTTTAAAAAAAATCTGGTAAGGTTTTCTTTTCAAAGCTGTACTACCCTCATGTTTTTATAAGATGGACTTGAAATCTGGGAGTAAGTACAGATCCTTTGCTATCTTTGACCACAGCTGCCAGCTGCTGGAACACCAGAGTTGCTCAAGAAGAAGAGAACCTCTGCTGGAGCCCAACAGCTATGCTAACGAACATGGTGAAGCCTCTCTCAGACCTAAAAGCTGACCTGCAGACATCCTCAAAAGCAAATTAACATATTCCTGCTCCCAATACTTTTTATGCATTGTGTTGATGGCTTCAAAACGCAAGTATGTAGCACTTGGTGCCTTTGGCCATAGGCAAAACCAGACTGTACTAACATTTAATAACTCTTCAGGCAAAGTCTTAAGTACAGAAAACAGAGGTGTTACAAGAAGTTATGCCACAGAAGGCTATTTGGGAGTAGCTTAGCAAAGAGACAAGAAGAAACAAGCTAGGTGCCAGCCATATGCCCATGAAATTAACTGGGAATTAGTGCAAGAAGGAGAAAAACTGGACCAGTCTCCCTTTGGGGAGAGTAACTTACTGTTACTGTTTACTCCCTTGATTCTAACGGAAGAGAACTCTGCATCACAGCTCAAGTTCTAGCCCTATGGCTGACACCCGTGTGTCTTTATTACACAAGGAACTCTAATTAGTCATCACTTGATTTAACTGATTTGATTAATATTAAATGAGAATTCTTTGGCAGAGACAAAAATAAAACTTAATTCTCCTAGGCGGCATTTGACCATCACAATAATTTTTGCTCTTTCTTCAGTCCCATGCCCCAGTCCCTAGAAAGATTCTCATTTCTGAAATAAAGTTGATGAAATCCTACAAAGCACAGGACAGCTTCGCTCCCGAGTCCAACACCAGAGTGTAAGAAAAAATAAACAGCACATCATGAACTTAAATGCTGTACCATAATACATAGGCATAAAGGGACTGATGTAGGATTGTCTTGATCCCCTTTATTTTGGCATTTCCTAGATTCTGATTGCTTCACGATTTGAAATGTCAATGAGACTTTAATGGAAATTCTGTGGACGCTTAATTTTTCCCTCTGTGATACAGAAGAGTATACTGGGGAGAGTCACTGGTCTTTTGAAAGGAAGAGTAGTCTGGTTAGTCTGGCTGAGTATTCTACTAACAGAGTAACATCTTTTCACACTTCATCTCACAGCTGAAGGAAACTCATACCCCATCTAGATACAAGGAAGCACAATAACTACCAAAATAACAGGGAGAAAAACAACAAACCCCCAAAATCCACTGAAGTAAAATAGAAGTTGACTAATTATACTTATTTTCAAAAACTTTCAAATTCCTAGATGCAATCCACGCCTACCTCTCTTGCATAAACATATCAAATACTTTGTAGTTTCCTTTTAATTAAAAAGGGAGTGAGTAACGAAGCAGCTATTAGAAGCCGTAACTCATCATAAAGTTTAAGAAAAGATTCAACATAGGAAACATGAGCATTCTTCTCTGATTACTTTTTAAACGTAACAGTTAAGTTCATGTTAAAAATATTTCTTATAGCCACTAGAAATAAAGGATACAATAATGTGTCGATCTGATGGATTCCGCTGACGTGTCTTTTCCAGTTGAGATAACTGCTTGGCTTCTCGGTTCTTTGCTGTTAGAGTTGCTTTAAGATCATCCTGGAAATAAAATGTTTTAGACATGTCTGAAATAGATCTAGGATAATACAGAATGCACTTTTCTTCATACATGCATTGCCTAGAAAACAGGATCAAAACTTATGCTTTAAACAAAACCAGATTTTACTGATCTTATCCTGTTAAATGATCTCCTGAAAGAGAAGTCAGTGGGGACCAAGACAGTTTAGCACCTTGCACAACTCTCTGTAGCACACACTATAATTTAAAGAGTGGGGAAAAAAAGAAAAAGATATTTGCAGCTTTTCACAAAAAGTACAGTAGGTGGTCAAAAGCTGAGATCCCCAAAGCAGTAAAAGGACAGGCCCGTTCCAAGCTTAGCAATGGAATAAAGGTGGCATTTAGAAACAAAAAAGTGGCGTCATGTAAATCAGTAAGAAAAAAATGAAACAGGCAGCAGTCACTACCAATCAGAAGTTACGAAGGACACACAACTGCTACACAGAGGTTAAGGTGCCATAGAAAATCCATGGCTGAAAGCGTTAAGCCGCATATTTATATATGCAGTAAGGTGTGTAAATACATTTGGAACAAAATACATCCTAGTAATGATGTAGCTGGAGAAGATGAAACTTACTTATCTAGAAAAGGCAGAAACTGTGGATCAACGATTTTTGCTCATTTCCAAAGGAGAAGTAGGACGTACTGCTAGGAAGATCTGTGACAATTTAAGAATGTTTACATACCACTCTCAAATTCTTGTTAGTGCTATAAGAGTGTGTTTTGCAAATAGTTTGGCATACATGGAATCCAAAATTGTCAGTCAGATATGTATCACTCCATTGACCCTGGTATGGGAACTGACATTGGCTCTAATTTAAAGGAGCAGTACCTCAGCACAAGCAGAAATACAGCTGGAAGGAATCAGCCTACCAAAGTCTGAGGCAGGAGTTGGGCCTGCATTTCAAACTATCATTTCCTCTAAAAAGACCAGTTCCATTTATCTACCACTCCAGACAGGATTAAAGCAATTAAAAACTATCATCTCAGGAAGTCGTCTGTGCTCCTTCCCTGGATTTCAGAATTTTAGCATGGTTGCAAGTCTCCCTCACTCAAAAAGAAACACAACCAAAAATGTGTCTCTTTCAAAAAGTTCTGTGATCCTGTGACCAGATCACTAGCCGGTGCCAAGCACAAGTATGCCAAGTTTCAGCGTGCTGTGTTCCTTCAATAGTGAGTCTGTACATGAGGTCAGGATCAGTTTTTTCTGTGTTTCTATCCTTACTGTCTGTCTGTATGTCCTTGTGTATATGACTGTCACTTTGCTTCATCTTTAGGGACACAGAGCGGGTTTATGGTAATAAAACCAGCCACATCTTTAGCCCATCAAAACTAATTTTGCTGCTGTTCTTTCAAAAGGGAATTTATACCACCTTTAAGGCCACCTGAAAGACTGCTGGAAAGGGCTTTCTCCTTTATGAAAACCATGCGGCCACAAGAAAAGCAGTAATATAAAATATTTTTTTATTGCTTTACATGTTAAATGAAAGGTAGAGAAAGAAGAGAAAAATATATTTATTTCTACCATAGAACAAAGCAGTTTTGTATCTAAGGGTCACAGATGCATGTTTAGTGCTATTTAATGACCAAGCCCTGTTAACAGCACTGACTTTCTAGGCCCATTTGAAACAGTCAATCAGATTTAATGCTGTGGCTGAAAGGGTTCTGACATTCATGCAAAGTATACTTGAGAACGCTAAGGAAACCACTAGAGTTACCGTTATAAAATTCAGTATTTTCTTTCTAGCACATGGTGACTTTGGAAATACCTACAAGGAACTGCACTGTTCCCTTCTCTACCTCTGTTCTCTGTAGCACTAACAGCCATCAAACATACTTCTCTGCTAGCCACAGCCTGACAAAGATTTGGTGCTACTGTAGCTATAGTGGTGGAGCTATGTACACGTTTTGGATGTACAGTTACATATATATTTTGTCTAGGATGCTGAAAAACTGAAAAGGGTGCAGAAAAAACATACATTAAAACATATTCAAAAGCTGGGGGAAATGCCATTATGGTGAAAGAATTAAGGTCTGCATTATCAGCTAACCGAAAAGAATGAAAAATGTCCTTTACTACCATCTAAATACCTTCCTCCAGAAAAAAAGCACCAAGAGCTCTTTAATCTCAGTGGAATATGTAACAAGAACCAAAGATTAGGTGAAGTCTTTCATTTAAAGCAAAACACCAGAAACATCAGCTAACCACTAACTACCACACACAGTCCCACATTCCCCTCCAGTGTCTTCAGACCAAGACTTGATATGTTTTTGGAAAATATGCTTTAATTTCACCCATGGAGAAATGGAATGGAATGCAATAGTCAGCGAGTTAAAGGACAGGGACAGAGAATATGAAATTATTCATAGTCCCTCTGGCTTTAAACTATGAATTCAAGTCACACATAAGAACTATGGTCAGCCATCTCATTTCAAACCATACAGAAGTACAGCTGCAGTCCATCCACCAATGAGCTGGCAGATCCTCATCACTGTACTGTTACCTGCTTTAGTCACTGAAGTTATTAAAGCAAACCAATCCTTTCTTCCGCAGGTGGATCACCTTGGTTTTATGATGTCCTGTTTTATATGAAGAAAAGGAACCAGGAACAGAGTTGCCAAAAAGCAGAAAAGTGAAGACTGATACACAGAACAATGAAACAGAAAGAAATCTTAAAATCCTACATTTAAGCTGTATTACAGCACAAGGATATTATACTAGCTTCCACTGAAGCTGCCAAATCCTGCCCCAGAGCGCTACTCAGCATAGTAAACCGGGACACACAAATGAAACAATTTTATTGCATTAGCAGTTAAAGGACAACACTATTCTGATTGACGTGGGCCTCTTCAAAGCATTTAGTATCACAGGGCATTGATGTCCTACCCCACCAAAACAGCAACAGTTCTTTTTAGCTACAGCACAAAAATAGTTTGTGTACACCCTGGAACAGATCCAATAAGTAGCAGTGAGAACATCCCCTTTATCAAAAGTGCTGTAATGACATATTCTGCCTGGTTTTACCTAACCAGCTAATGCAGTTACAGGTAAAGCAGTCCTACAGCTCGCACCCTATGCTAGCTTTGCATGAGTGACAAAACTTCCTTTTGCACTAAAAATGTCCCAGTGTTTAGAGATAACTGAAGACCAGACAGTTGAAGTTTGAACCAAGGTTTATGGTAACAGGTGGACTGGGGGGAGAATAAAATCATTTAATGTCCTACATCTTCAGTGATCTTCATCTCTTAGTCCAAAGGTACATTGATAAAAATAGTTAATCCCATCTACAGTTTAAGAACGCTCTTGTACTCCTCGCTGGAGGTAGGATAAACATTATGTAATGCTTTCTGTCATTCTGAAAGGCAAGGACAACAGGAAATGCCAGTCACTGTTGCAAGGGATGACCTGGCTTCAGTTGCTTCTGTCCTCAGCATTTACTGGCTATCAGTGGCAGTACACCTCGCTATCTTCAGTGCTTCAGAGCCCAAAGCAGTGCTGTAGTGCTCTCTGTCTCCTCAGCAATGCTGTCACCACAAACACATGAAACTTGTCTTCCATCTTCAATATTTATATCCTATAGAATACTCAGTCAGTTCTAGGTCTCATCAACTGCGTTTCAGAGTGACTATTAAGGTAACAAATTCTAGGATACAGGCTCTATAGTCTCCAGCTCTGCTGAGGACTACCACACGTAGTACCACTCAAGTGCAGGACGCATTTCCTTCATAATTGTTTCTTTAACAACCAAGTGAGATAGCTGTGCAGTAAGTTCCAAACACTGTACTTGGACGTTCACCGTATTGAAAAGATACAAGAACAAAACCATATGAAAAATGCTAGTTTGAGATACAATGCCACAACATACTCAAATTAACCATGATGAATAAATACACTGTAAGATTTTCTGTATGTAAAATACCATCAAATAATGATCATTTTGCCTTTTGATTTATATAGATTATGACAAAGCTATATACATCAATTAGAGATTTGAGTTTACAGGATGAAGGTATACTCTATGTAATAAGCAAAGACTACAAAGAACAACTTTCATCCTACAAACTAGTATCTGCTTATTAAAATTTACTTGCTCAGTCTTATCTCTCCTGGAGGAAAGAAATTTACAGATATTGTGTATATTGGGAATATTTCAAACCCCTATATATGCTGTTTCCAGAATATAGCGAATGGAGAGACCTCAGTTTTTTGTGTACCTTTGGGTCATCCTGATGACTTTGTAGGGCAGAGAGGGATTCAGACCACTACCTATTTATCAGTTTCAAAAAAGTGTCTTCTACACTATGAACTTCAATGTAGAACACAATTTTAAGCTAGAAAGAAAAAAATGCTGTTAAAGGCAGCATATAGATGACTAAGAGCCAAAAGCATTACATGTAATTCACCTTTTGGAACTCTGAATAATAATAACAACAGTAATAACGACAAAACCAAAAATAATAAAAAAGACATTATTTATTAAAAAAATGTCCTGAATTTGCACTATCCAGGAAGTTTCACACTATTCACAATGCCTATTTTTAGCATTTGCTTGTGCTCCAAGAGTCTGAATATCTTTGTCTTCACATCAAAGCTTTTTCCTCCAACATACACAGAGCTTCAATTCAGATGTATTACTATATAATTTAGTTAGACTGATTACTGCAATTTGAAAAATCAGAACCACACCCCCCATGTAAAGCAGAAGTTTTTGACTGATTGGCCAGAACACCAAATGTCCCTTGTGAGGAAACAGATGTTTAACCTACCCTTTTAAGTTTCACTATGGTCCTGTAATTTTTCAGAGGTTCAACAACCTTGGCTTCAAGCCTCTCAACCTACAAAAGAAATGACAAGGTCACTAAAATCACCTATGTCTACACTGTGCAGAAACAGGAAAAATTAATTTATTAGCGACTCATCTTGTTAGGAATTTAGCCCACATATAATGAAAATATAGTGGGGTGGATGCTTTAAAAATACTGCAAAACCCAGAGTCAATTACATTAACCAGTAAACCATCTGTATTTTGAGAAACTCAAGCTGATCTCTAGTGGAATTCCTTTTTCTTCATTGGCAATATCATCAGGATAAATGAAACATGGAGATTCTAACAACTGAATACTAAATACATCAAACACTGCACCTTGGAGATCTGTAGCTTTCTATCTAAAGTTAAAGATCAATGTATTTGCTCTGCACTGGATGAGAGATTATGGATTAAGCAGTCCTTGCTACCAAACATACTGCATGAAATGCAACACTTCTGTTCTTAAAAAATAATGGAAACAGCATTATAGGTACTGAAAATATTAAAAATACCACAACAGGTTGTGTAAAATGCATGAATGCTCTCACAGCTGAGTGCATCTGAATTTTTGTTTCAGTTCTCCCAGTTTGAAAAACAGCTACATATGGTCAGACAGGCAATAGGATAAGACTTACCTGCTTGTCAAGTGGCCCCAGCATAAGCTGCCGATGACTTTGGACCAGTGAGTCATCTGGCCCATCTCTGTTACGGCCAAATTAGGACAAGGTGCATACCTCTACTAGGAACGGACAGACATTACACCTGCCTTTAAACTGGCAGTCACCAGTCAGCCAAAATCTATGCCAACTGAGCAAAGATTTCTCCTTTACTGCACTCTACCAGAGCACTGTCAAACAATTTTACCTAAACTACCAATAGAACAGAACGGAAGAGGGCAGTAAGGCTCTAAATGAAATACATGATATAGACACATCAAATAACCTGCCTGTCTTGTTTACCTACCCTTCCACATGTTGTGGAAGTACCTCACACCTCAGCATTCGCATATCTAGCACTGTAGCTGAGGATCAGAAATCGATAATCCTTATAACCTAATTTTCTCTTGCCCACATTGTCAATACATATGAAAACTGTTAATTAACCTGATGCCCAAAAGAAATAAAGCTGAGATTATCTATTTGGTTTTCACGAGCAAAGGAGAACTTGATTTAAAGGCTAAAAGCTTCTCTTTTCCTTTGCTGCTTCTGCCTTTTCTCCTCCAAAGGGCAGTGGTGGTTTGAGGACAAGCACGGTAGGAGGAAGTAGGCCAAATGTCAGTTTTTAAAAACACACTTAAAAATTGAAAGAAGCAAAACTCAAGTTGTTACATAGGTACCTGGAAATTACAGATTCATAGCTTAAAGGTGAAAACAGAAAGATCATGCAGCCTGACTTCATGTAAATCTTTGGCCATAATATAAATTTACCCCATTAACAGAGGGATAAATTGCTATTATATCAGTTGAAGCACAAGGACCTACATGTATCTCAGCTCGAGCCAGATGCGTAACAGGTTCCGGAAAAAAAAAATAAAAAAAATTGCACTATACACACCCTTGGATTTCTTATTACTTCTTAAAAATCTGGCCCCAAATACACTGTTAAAGATCCACGTGCATTTCTTGGTTTTTCAGATCCTCTACTTGGTAGACTAGATACCTCATAAGATAACTTCCTTTAAAAGGTGTTCTTTTTCTTTTGTGTTACTACAGAAAGATGACTTGCAATGCTTCTTTAAAAAAAAAAAAGTCCTATTTGAAAACATCAAGAACTTCAACTAATTTAGTCTCTTTTTTAAATTATAATGGTTCTCAGCTTTTCAAAACTATAAACAGGGATTTTTTATGCCCTATCTAAAGAACAGATATGTACTCCAAAAAAGTAGTTTGAGATTAATTTATTTGTTCTTAAGTCTTAGCATTTGGAATTCTAGATAACAGAAACATAGAATAGTTTGGGCTGGAAGGGATCTCTAAAGGTCATCTAGTCCAACCCCCTGCAGTGAGCAGGGACAGCTTTAGCTAGATCAGGTTGCTCAGAGCCCTGTCCAGCTTGGCCTTGAATGTTTCCAAGATGGGGCTTCTACCATCTCTCTGGGCGAATGGTTCCAGTGTTTCACCACCCTCATTGTAAAAAATTTCTTCCTTGTATCTAGTCTGAATCTACCCTCTTTTAGTTTAAAACCATTGCCCCTTGTTCTACCGCAACAGGCCCTGCTAAAATGATTGCCCCTATCTTTCTTATAGACCCCCTTTAAGCACTGGAAGGCCGCTATAATGTCTCCCTGGAGCCTTCTCTTCTCCAGGATGAACAACCCCAACTCTCTCAGCCTGTCCTCAGAGGGGAGGTGGTTCAGCCCCCTGATCATTTTTGTGGCCTCCTCTGGATCCGCTCCAACAGGTCCATGTCTTTCATGTGCTGAGGGCTCCAGAATTGGACGCAATACTGCAGGTAGGGTCTCATGAGAGCGGAGCACAGGGGCAGAATCCCCTCCTTTGACCTGCTGGCCATGCTTCTCTTGATGCGGCCTAGGATACGGTTGGCTTTCTGGGCTGCGAGTGCATGTTGCTGCTCATGTCCAGTTTCTCGTCCATCAATACCCCCAAGTCCTTCTCTGCAGTCACAGCCTGACTGACCCCACACTCTCACTTCTCTAGCAGAAACGTGACTACATTGTCACACGTGGTCCAAACCAAGTTTCTACTTTTAGTGTTGAACTACAGACTTATGAAATCTACTGTGGTCCCCAATAGCACTCTGAGGGGCTGTCAGTGCCCAGTGAAGGATTCCAGTTAGTATTCTCTTCCATACTGCTTCTGGTAATAGACTCAGCAAAAGGAAAACGACCAGTTTTAGCTCAGCTGCTGCTAGACAACTCAAGTCACAAAACTAAAAGAACACTGTATTAACCATAAATCATAATCCAACGTCTAAGACCAACAAAAGACCTGCTCTGTCTCAAATTCTGTGAATGCTCATACAGATAGTTTCACTGACTTCA